TCAATCAAAACGAATTTGTCGGGCTTGGGCCGAATTCTGTCAGGCTTAACTTTTATGGCCCGATTACACCTTTAGTAAACACTGCTCGATCTGAAGTGTTGTAAATTTCCTACTGATTACAGAGCCAGCTTTACTGCCAAAATGCGCATGAATATCACCATCGATAAATCCCCCAGCCCTAGTCAAGGTTGTGGGTTAGATTCTCAGATAAAGACCAACTGATTAACTGTACCCTCAATGCAATTCAAGTAGATGTGGATACAAGTGTCTGCTAAAAGCATAGAAACTACTGCACTAGCAGATCTTTTCTTCCAAAATATGACTTCACCCAAGTCCAACAGATTATACTCCACCAGGCTATCAGTAAATATTATTAATAAAAGACTTTTAGTTTTAAAAAAACATCTGTAACTTTGAGTTTTCTAACATCTTTCCACTGAGAACAACACATGTGGGAACAGGAGTAACCGGCAGACTCCTTTAGCAAAGTCTGTGACATCAAGATAATAAGATCTCATAGCAAGACAGAGAGCAGAACTACATCAAAGCCCAGGAATGTTTCCCCCCTGAGGTGGCTAAAATGAAAGGAAGACGGACCCTGTCAAGCTCAGGAAGGCCAGAAGGTCTGACAGTAGCTGAGTGTGTGTGACGTGCAAACATGCATGTGGGCCGAGGTGTATTACACGCCTGTCTTTAGGGGGCAAGTGTCAGCAGCTTTTTATTGCCTCTGTCAGTGACGCTTATGGGAAGAACTGGCAGCATTACACAATGAGCGCCACAGGTACCACAGAAAGAAAATAAACGGCTACTTCACAGCTTCAGATTTGAATGAAGAGTAATCAATCTCCTGCAGCCGTTTAACGTTTGTAGGCGTACAATGCCTGTTTGCGTTGTCATGGATCAGTTTAGATGTTGAGGCTGGGATTGTGAATGGGGGAGGCTGACTAAAACAATGCAAAAAGCAGCTGCAAGACTCTCTGTATGGAAATGAGGATGAGCCACTCACTGCAGAACCATGATGGCAGAGATTCAAGTCAATATAACATTTCACTGACAAACAACTTCTACGAACACTTAAGCAAGGATGGAGTATCCGATGAAGCGAATCAAGCTGCAATAAAGATTAAGCGACAATTAGAGTATAATAGCTTCTTGGAGAGACGAACATCTCTCTCTTTGACAGGAACATGGGTAGATCTAACTAATGACTAACCACTGAAAGCTTCTGCCAACTCTTTCTAAAGTGTAAACAGATCAATTTAGTGTTGAGGGGCAAAGAAGGGGGTCTGCACGGAGCCCTGCTAGGCACTTTCACATACTAAACTATTGTTCAAAAGCATGTAAACACAATATCCTGTGTCAACATAAGGTGTACTCACATTAGGCACTGTTGTCTTGAACCATACCAAGGTGCAATTGTCCCCCCCTCTCCTTGCACTGACATTTCATTTTTTTGCCTTCTGAGCCTGAGCAAGCTTACGTCATCAATGACGCGACTGTTCAGTTTAACAAAAGAGAAGCACTCTCGCTTCCTACAATGGAGACTGCTTTAGTTATATTGTTTTTTATTTTAACTTATTTAATTTGCAGTGACACACAGTCAAAACTTTTGCTGAACAGATCCACCATTTTTGATGCTCATAAATGTACATAAAAGTCATTGTGCTGCACTTATTAGAAGGTTTGCTGAAGGTGCAGCTGACGTGCAGCGAGGTGTTTGCATCTTTAATAAACTACGACAGTACTTATTCATTAAAAACTAAGAATGGGTAAAAATATATCCATATAAAACAGTCCCTTAAAAGTGACGTCGGGTCTTCGGTTTTGTGCTCAGTCAGGCGTGCTTTGCACTCACACTACAAGCATACCATGCCAAAGGCCAACTGAACTGCGCTCCGGCGCACCTCTCCCCACTGGGCCAGGGCATGCCAACTGAACAGCACCTGGGCTCGATTCAGAGGACTCACACTTGCCAAGCAAACTGGAAAAATGGGGGTCAAATGTGTCTGGGCATGGTTTGGATAGCCTAATGTGAGTACACACTTAGTCAGGCGTTTACGGAAACTGATGGTTGTCATAGTATTTCTACCTGTCATGAGTTCAGGGCAGCAAAGTCTTAGCAGGTTTTTTTGTTTGTATATTAATAATTCCTCACATTTTATATAGCACTTTTCTGGACACTCAAAGTGCTTTACATGTTTTGGGGGGAATCTCATCCACCTCATTCACCACCAGTGTGCAGCATCCACCTGGATGACATGACAGCAGTCATACTCTGCCAAACCGCACACCACACACCAGCTAATAGGTGAAGAGGAGACGTGATAAAGCCAATTATGATATGGGGATAGTTAGGAGGGTATGATGGACAGACGCCAGAGGGCAAATTTGGCCAGAATGGTAACTACTTTTTTAAATGACATCCTGGGATTTTTAGCGACCACAAGTAGTCAGGACCTCGATTTAATGTCTCATCTGAAAGACAGCGCATTAAATTCGGCTCACACTATGCGATTTTTTAGAATCCTGAACAATTGTAGCATGTCAGACTGCATGAACATAGCTCTCATGTCACACTGTAAGATCTCAGCTGTCATACAGTCAGCCTGAACAACAACGAAGACGCCCCAAACAAAAAAGAAAACTCTCCTGGAGTATGACGTCATCTACCCATGACACTTTCACTATTCTGCGTTCTGAAATGAGTCCTCACAACAAACGCAAACAATCTGTAGAGGCAATTTTGCACACAGCATGTCTCAATATTAAAACTAAGAAGAAAAATAATTTTTTTTTGGTTTTGACATTTCCCTGTCGTCATTTGAATTGTTGCATGGATCGCGTCATCAAACTCTGCGCTCCTATTGGTTGTTGGATTGACGCTCATTGCAGCTGTTGTCACACTGCAGCAAAGTGTCTGAAATGACACTGCCAGATCTTCATTGGAGGAAAAATCTTATCGCAACAGGCACCAAGCGGCTGTCTGTGAACATGTCAAACCAATATTTAAAGATCACAGATTTTAGCCCAGGATTTCAGGAATCTTTTAGGATTTCCCCAAATGATCTTAGATGACAAAATCGTAGCTGAAATCTCACAGTGTGAGCAAGGCAGAAGTATAGAGTCCCCATCAATATATTGGGGTGTTAGCGCACACACATAGACCACAGGCTCACTACCTAGCTTTCCCATGTGATCTCCCATGCAGATACTGACCGGGTGCAGCCATGCTTAGCTTCAGTGGGGGACCATATGAGAGTTGCAGACAGTTAAGGCTGATTTATACTTCTGCGTCAAACGGCGGCGTATGCTACGGCGCTGACGCATAGCCCTTCGCCGTGGCCGTCTGCGTCGCTGACGTGCACCTTTCAAAAAACGTCTGCAGGTTCCTGCCTCAAAATGAGCGAGTTTGAGCCACTTGTACATCCCGGAAGTGTTCAGGAAAAGCAAAACAACAGAGAAGAAACTCGACACAGAGGAACATTTACACCTCACTGCCAACTAGCGTTTCGGAAGTGTAAATGCAGACCAACAGAGACAGTGCGCAGAAGTATAAATGCACAGCTACGCACGTTGCATGCGCCGTGGGTTGCGCGGGTCACTTGACGCAGAAGTATAAACCAGGCTTTAGCTGTCAGTGATATTAATTGTTGAGGATACTAGAGAATGAACTTTTCCATATCAATTATGAAATATATTCAGTGAAATTGATTTGCAAATATTAGGTATGGCAGGGATTTAGTTTAAAAGTAAAAAGTTTTAGTAGAAAAGTTCATGATTGTACAGTGGTGGACCTTAATGCAAGCTTAACACAAATTCTGTAGGCTTTCTGTTTGCAGTTTTGAAAAGTTTTGCATATATAATAGATGACAACATTGTCAACATGGTTCCCATTCACACAAAAGTGACTAAAATTCAATTCATTCCTCATGTCAGGTCAGTAGGTGGTGATATCAGATTGTAAAAAAAATAAATAAATAAATAAATAAACGCCTGTACATACAGTCCTCTAGTCCACTATTATTTTTTGGCTTTTAAACTTACCACTTACTCACACTCAGGTTGTTATAAACCTTTCTGAGTTTGCACAAATGTATGTTTTACATACAGAAAACAACAGTATTGTCTCATAAAAACATGATCTATAAAATCAAAAGGGTTCCAAAAAAACAAGCAGCTAAAACATATTAAAAATGCATTTTTGGGTAAAATCATTGCCATGTAAATATGCTGCAAAACATTGAAAAAGTCTAAAAAACATATGACCACAGATATTGGTCAATTTCATCAAAAGATTGAGCTTTGATATCATCTGATATGGTCAAACGTTAAGTTGGATATTTTAATCAGCAATATTAGAAAAGAAAATTTCAATTAATTCATGCGTGATAGGATATTTATGGTCTTACAATAACAATTCAAAAGATGTTTTGAAGTTTCACTTTGAATACTACCCTTTATTATCATTATTAAAATAAATGTTGCATTTTATAGTGTATCTTAAAATATAGATAACCATACAATTACATTTCTCAATTTACTGATTATTATTATTATCATTATTACTATTATACAGTATTGTTAACATGTTTCGCATCTGATTATGTTGACAGACTGAATGAACACAACTAATCCGAAACATAATTTTAAAATTTCACAGCATTGCATTCTGTGTTGTCCCTGTACTAGGAAAAAAATCACAATGTAACAGTGCAATGCGAAAAGTTGTCTGAAGCTGCATTTACTGCAAAAGCACTCAACTGGTCATAAAAGTGTCTTTTACAACTCTGAGCTCTTTTATGAAGGGGAACAACTTAAACACATGTTCCATCTTAACTCAGACCGAGACAAAAGAGTTCAAGCCTACTCATTACTGAATGCTGGCTGGGTGTTGAGCATAAATACAAACAACAACAAAGCGACAGACAGACGTACAAACAGACACTCGCATACATAATAAAAACTCATAATTATGCACATTGATCGGAAAACAAACTCACCAACTGAAACGTGCACAGAAATATAAGGGTGCACCGTCCGCTGCAGCAGCCCATTGTGTTAAAGCGAGATAATGAGATCCTGAATATATGAGTCTTTCAGCATAAACTCCTAAACAAACACAGTGAAGCGCGTCAGTCTCTGTCCGACACAAAGCGCCTCCGTTCCCATTGTTTCCAGCGGCGGCACTCAGTGAAACACGCGTGGAAGTGTGAACGCGAACACGGGCGGCGGGAGGAGTGTGTGTATGTGTGTGAGAGAAAGACACGGGTGTGTGTGAGCGAAGTGTGAAGAAAGAGGCAGAAGAGAGACGATGAAGAGGGTAAGAGGGGCGGGGGTAAGTATCAGCAAAGGGGGTGTATGTAAATCACAAATGTGTTGTTCGCACACGCGCGCGCACAAGCTGACTATATAAACAAACCACCGGTGCGAGCTGTGTTGTTTCAAACCCTAAGCCTGTAGGAAATTGCCTAAAGGAATCGCAGCATTCCCGAAAATTAAAACTTACACTAAGCATGAAATGTTTGTGTGGATTATGGCCCCACAGTGGGATCAGTCAGCTGGTTGGACAGCTGAGAGCTGCCCTAAACCCCTCTAAAACCAGTCTAATCAGGCTGGGAAAACAGATAAGAACAGCAAACAAGATTTTAGGCAAACATTTAAAACTTAGCAGACCCTATTGGAGAAATCTTTTCCAAGAGATGACAAGAAATAGGAATAATTATGATGATTTATTACACAATTAAGTTATTTTCTTGCAATACTGAGCTCACAACTCTTAACTTTTTTGTGGGACTCTTGCTAGAAATGATGTGCTATAATGTCAAGATAAATAAAATTATTTGCACTCGTGTTTTAATAGTTTTAGATATTTTCCAATTGTTGAGAGAATATTTTTAAACACATGTTTTAACATAATATAGTTTTAATAACTAATTTCTAATAACTAATTTCTCAGGCTGCAAAGAATTCATGCCCAGATTTGACAAAGTTGACACAGCAGGCATTTATTCGGTACTGGAATACAGCATGTGGGCCAAGCATGGCCCGGGTTTGGCAGAGGTGCGCTAAAGGTGAATTGAGTAATCAAAGTCAGCCGTAGTGTATGTGTGTAAATGAGTGTGTATGGGTGTTTCCCAGTACTGGGTTGCAGCTGGAAGGGCATCTACTGTGTAAAACATGCTGGATAAGTTGGGGGCTCATTCTGCTGTGGCGGCCCCTGATTAATAAAGGGACTAAGCTAAAGAAAAATAACTGAATGAACACTAGGATTTGGTTTGACTAAATTAATATGTTATTTTGGCAAATTAGGAAAATAAGTCAAGTCTTTGGACAATTGGTATGTGTACAGTGTAAATACAGTGTAAAACCCAACAGTCATCTGTATCCAATGAAATGTGTAGTTAACTTAGAATTTACTGAAAGTTAATTCTACTCATTTGAAAAGAGTTTTAACCTCAGTGTTAAAGTTAATGAGTTCATTAAGTGGTTAAGTATGTGTTGATTGACCTTTAACAATATACAGCTATATTTTTGTGTTTCTCTTAAGTGTTTCTGCTTGTTACAGCAGGTGTTAATCATTAATGCTCAATCAAAATTTTTAATTATCTCATTATTTCAACTTAAATGGAGTAAGTTCGCAGTACTCATCTAGATTAATTTTAAACTCAAATGGTTTGTAGCAATCGGTTTCTCTTAAACAGTTTGAGTAGCCTTAACTTATTGGGTTTACAGTACTTGGTTTGAGTTCTCTTCATTTATCAGGTTTTACTGTGCTCAAATTGCTTCATGTACTCAAATAGATTAAGTTCACAGTACTCATTAGGATTTAGTTTTTTTATTTAAATGGTTTGTTGCAATCGGTTTCTTCAAATGGTTTGAGTTACCTTTACTTTTTGGGTTTTACAGTGTAATATTGACCTTAAAATTGTTTTTAAAAGATTAAAAGTTGCTTTTATTCCAACCAAACTAAAAATAAATATTTTTTTTTATCCCCAGAAGAAAACACATTATAGAAAATACTGTGAAAATTTCATTGCTCTGTTAAACATCACTTGTGGGAAATATTTGAAAAAGAATACACATTTCACAGGAGAGCTAATTTTGACGCCAGCTGTACATAAAATAGACTTAATATCACACTTTTAACAAACTCAAAACATCTTAATTTTATATTTCTTAAAATTTTGACTTTCTATATGTATTGTTGTATTGACTTGATTTTTTCTCACATTTTGCTATAATGTTTTCATGCAATTCTGAATTTATTCTTTACCCAAATCTGAGTTTAAGTCAGATGAATAAAGTCAAATGGGTAAAATAAAGTAAAAACTAATATAAATTTACATGTTTTTTTTTTTGTGCATTGTGGTTATATTTCACAATTCCTATTTTATTTATCACAATTCTGACTCGATATAGAAGAACTCTGATCTGAATTGTGAGATATAAACTCAAAGATTTTTAAAAAATAAAGTCTGAATTAAAATTTCAACTTCAAAATAAAGTCTGAAATAAAAATATCAAACATTTTCTTCGCAATTTTTGCTTTATTTCTTAGAATATTTTTATCTAATTTTTTTCAGAATTGGAACTTTATTTCTCACAATTGCAAGTTTTTTGTGTCTCAGAATTCTGACTTAAATGAGATTCTGATCTTCAATTCAATATTTTTTTTTGCATTTTTTTGCAACTCTTTTGCATTTCTGACTTTTTCACAATTCTGAATTCAAATTCTGAAAAAAAATATAACATAATAGGTCTGAACTGTGTGATATTATAACTGTATTGCGAAGCAATTTGTTCAGTGTGTCACATTACCTTCATTTGCTCCAACAAAAAGTTAGAATTGTTATATATAAACTCAGAATTGCAAGAAAAAAACGGCAGAATCCCAAAATATGAACTCAGAATTGCAAGAAATAAGTCAGAATTGAAAAATACCCTACACATAATACCTCAATGTTTCCAATATGGGATGAAAAGTTTCCATGTTAAAGATAAAACATTGATACCAGAAACTGACCTTTATGTGTGTCAGTTGGAGAAAACAAATATATCATGTGATCATATTGTATCATTATGTACTTTTATTGATTTATTTGAGCTCTGGTTTCCCCCACAGTCCAGAGACACGTGCTAAAGGTGAATTGGGTAAACAAAATTGGCCGTACTGTATGGATGTTTCCCAGTACCGCATCCGCTGTGTAAAACATATGCTGGATGAGTTGGCGGTTCAATCCGCTTTGGCAACCCCTGATGAATAAAGGGACTAAGCTGTAGAAAAATTAATGAATGAATGATTTGTTTGACAATTGGCAAATATTACGATCACATCAACAATGGGTGCAGTTACAATAACAACAAGGTTAAAAATACACCTTAAATATTTTAATGTTTAAATATATACTTTATGTTTTTTCATAGAGCTTAGGCAGAAATTTTTACTTATATCTCCAGCTTCATCTGCTTCAAAGTAGTCTTGCATAGTCACTGGTCTCCGACTCAATGAAGTTTATAATCAAATTCAAAGCGCCATCTGCGGGTCGAGTCTCAAAACTACACATTACTTGAACAGGCTTTTTTATTCACTTCAACTGTTTTACTGTTTGAACTGACACATAAATAATATTCTCAAAAATAAGACCGACGCACATTTAGTCCATTAACGTTGTCTTTAAAGGGATAGTTCACCCAACAATTTAAATTCGGCTGTTATTTACTCATCCTCCAGTTGTTCCAAAGCTGTTTGAGTTTCTTTCTTCTGTTAAGCACATTGAAAGATATACTGAATAAGGATTAAAAACAGCCATTGACTTCCTACTTCAACTATGGATGTCAATGGCATGTCTTCTTTTTCCAGCGTTCTGCAGAATATGTTCATATGTTCATGCTTATAAGCGTGAGTAAATGGTAAGGAAATTAAAATTTTGGGGTCAGCTACACTGTCAGAAAAAATGTGCAAAATTTGTACCTTTAGGGGTACAATGGCTTGTCACTGGGGCAGTACCCTCAAGGGTACACCTGTTGTACCCTTTCACATGGGTACATATTTGTACCCTAGCAGTATGTACCTTAATGGGTCAAATATGTACCTCTGCTGAGTAATTTGTACCTTACTTGGGCTATGGTACAATAATGTACCTTTAAAAAAGGTACAATTTCTCCTCCATAGGGATTAATTTTGTACCCTTTCATTTCAGAATTGTACTCCATACACATTAAATTTCATTTATCATTTATTAAACATTAAATATCAACATTTTTACAGGATGAATGTTTAAACATTACATAATTTTAAAATAATAAAAAGCAATATTTTTCCATGAGTACAAACTGCACAATAATTGTACTTATACTTGTAACATTTTTACACAAACACTCATTGAAAGATTAAAAAAAATTACATTGTCACCTTTTTGGAGGATGAAAGTTTTAATCACAATGTCCTACCAGATGCATAAACTTAAAAAAATAGCTGCTTAAACATTAAAACATTTTATGAAACACCAAAAAAGCTTAATATTATTTTTTAACATCAGTGCATCCCATTTCACTGAGCATTTTTACCAATGTAACAAAGTAATCTTTCTAAAACAGCACTAGACCTCATGAAGTATATTTTTGTTAGTGCACTGCATTCTACATTTTTCTAAAAGCATCAAGAATCTCAAAGCAGTCTTTTTCCATACAGTAAATTGAAACATGTCACTTACTGTATACCCTTAATCATTTTAGATCTCAAAAACACATTTGATCAAACAGTATTACACATTTGATTTAAAATTTCTAAACATTCTTAAACAGTTTATCAGCAGAGTATGTTTCAAGAGCCTGAAAGTCCGTCTGTCTTGGTTTATACCACCCCATTCAAAGTCAACTCCTAGTGTATTTGCATGGAAATATGAATCATTCAACAGCAGTATTATAAACTTGCCACACAGAAACCAGTGCAGTATTGACATTTAAAATGTATTTCATTAGGAAAGAGTCATTTCTTCTCCATTAGCAGTCTCACATGCTCACAAAAACAGTTCAATTTGAACACCTGAATGTGTCAATCTCATCAAGGATGTTGGGCGGAAAAAATTCTTAGCATTGTGTCATCTTGTGCTTCTCAGTTGATTTGGGCAATGTTATTAAAATGTCTATAGCTGCTAGTCTTAAAATACTGATGCAGACTCGAAACGCATGCAAAAAAGTAAATGCAAAGATCCAAGCATTGCTGTTTGATGCAGACCCAGCAATACCAGTTCTCTCGGACAGCTGCACTGAGTTGTTTTTCTTGTAATTTTGGATCTCCATCTTCACACCGTTGCTGATGTTCAAATTTAAATTGTTGCTCCATCTCGGGGAGTTGCTGATGTTCATCCTTTGCATTCTTTATGTAGCGTGGATAAGCCAAGTTGAAAACACAGTAAACGGCGAAGGATGTAATAATGCCTTTAAACTCCTATTCTCCAACAC